CTCCGTTCGCTCCGGGAAGCCGACCTTGACTTCATTGATGCACCCATTCCAGTGGTGTAACGGTGAGTTCCGGGACGGGCGGGTGAGTGGACACCGCTCAGGTTCAGGTCCTGAGCCAAGTTTCCCCGTCTCTGGGATGGCCCAGAAGGCGTCCTGGTGCTCTGTTGTGCTCTGCACTGCACAGCGCGCAGTTTGAAACGACCCCATTCTCAGTGTTTGGAGATGAAAAGGGTCTAGAAGCGAGTGGAGGGCCAGGAGCATGTGAGCCGAGGGCTTCCCGGCCTTTGTGTGGTGGTCCGGCTCTTCTACCCCTTTCCCCTTTCGCCTGCCTTTGTGCGCTCTCAAACTCTGTTCTTTGTTGTGGTGGTTAGAGAATTAAATCCGCGCTCCGGCTAGGATCTCCTCCTAGAGGGAGCTCAAGTTCCGGTTCTGAAACTTTGCAGGCTCTTTTAAATACGTCTGCAGTGCGATGTGCGGGACAGGGCGCTGAGTGACTTTCCTCATCTTTTGTTGGTTCCCACCGGCTTCCAGGGACAAGATTCTGGATTAAAGAGAGTCAATACTGAATAGATAACGCCTTGCAGACTGCTGGGCCCCTCCAGCTCAGGGCTGGCCTGGCAAGAGCTTTGATTTCTGGCAAGGAGGCCTGACCATGGGGTCTACTTTCAGCCTAAGTGGTGACAGTGCCTCCAGACACAGCCACTGACCACCATCCCCTCTCCATGCCCCACCGGGTAATGATGCTAAGTTAGTTCACCTGAGGCTTTTTTGGGTGGCTCGGGTGTTATGGATAAGGAGCGGATCTGGATTTCCCGTCTAAGCTACCTGATGGATCTTTCTGAGACGGTCACTTAAGCTTTAGATGTTAATACCATCCACCCCTCTCCACAATGTTCCCCAGAATCTTGGCTACTTTTTCTAAGCTTGAAGAGTTGGGCGAGGTGGAAAGCAAAGCAGAAAGCATTTTTTTTTTTTTTTTTTTTTTTTTTTTTTTTTTTTTTTGTATGGCTGGTTGGTTACTGGAGGTCGGGGGGAGGATCCATTCTTGAGTGGGCTTCTGCCAGATCTTGGATTAATTATTTCAAGGATCTTTTGTTTTAAGGCAGGGTTTGGGCCACATGTGTATGAGTGGCCCCCATCCCCCCTCCTTCCTCCTTTTGCTAGTCGGATCTAATTTCCTGAAAATGAACCAAGCTGTGTGTGATAGGCGGGTAATGGAGAGGGGCGGGGGATGGGGGCTAAGGCCTGACGGTGTATTCCAGCATCTGGGAAAGATTCCCTTTGGCTGGAAAGAAGCAGTTCCCAGATCCGCTGGTCTTGGCCAGACCTGCCCTGACGTCATTCCTGCTTGCAGCCTGCCAGCTGAGATGAGACATACTGGTGTCAAGTCGAAGACAATGGACCAGAGACTTAGGGAGGACTAAGCTGTCAGTAACCCCGACCTTCTCTGGCAGCTCCCTTTGGGAAGTGTTTTATCTTTCCCTGCTTCTCTGCCCCACCCCCGCGGGCATGGAACCCAGGCCTTGCTCATACTACACATAACTTCATCACTGACTGGCACTGCAACCTTTCTTTATCTTGCACTTCTTTTATTTTGTTTTTGTTTTTGTTTTGTTTTAGAGACAGGGTTTCTCTGTATAGCTTTGTAGACCAGGCTGACCTCGAACTCATAGAGATACACCTGTCTTTGCCTCCCGAGTGCTGCGATTAAAGGAAGTCACCGCCAACACCTAGTTTATATTGCACTTTTTAAAGTGAGTGGGCCAGGCTGTGGTGGCACATTTCTTTAATTCCAGCACTCAGAAGGCAGAGACAGGTGGATCTCTGAGTTTCAGGACAGTCTCCAAAGCTACACAGAGAAACCCAGTCTCAGAAAGCCAAAATAGATAGATAGATAGATAGATAGATAGATAGATAGATAGATAGATAGTCAGACAGACAGATAAGGTGATTGGCAGATCCTGTCTCTTGACTCCAAGGGAGATGCAACCCCATATCTGCCCCCCTTAAAAATCGTCTTAGAGACCCCATATCTGGGTTGGGTATTCTTTGACCTTAAAGTTTTAAGGAAAAACTCTATTGTCCAATTTAGATCAGTATTTTTTCCCATTTCTCTTCAAGAGTACAAATTGAACATTCCCAATCTGAAAATTAAAAATCCTGGAAAGTCCAAATTGTATAAAATTTGAACATGAAATTGCAAGAGATAATTTCACACCATTAAACTTTGCTTTTTGCAAAGGTACTTCAAATGTGTAGTTATCTTCAGGTTGTGTGAATAAGGTGTATATAAAACATAGGACGACTTTCGTGTTTAGACTTGAGCCCTATCCTAGTGATATCATAGTATGTACAGATATTCTAAGGTAAAAACATTTCAAATCCAAAACTAGTTCTGTTCTCTAAAATATAAAATGAATGAAACTCATTCACACTGGGTTTTCACTGTCACCCATGCTGGCCTCAGGAAAACTCATAGTTCTGCCTGAGCCCCTCAGACTGCTGAGGTCACACACATGAGCTACCTTGACAGCAGGCTGTTGTGTGACAAAGCTTTTTCCTGGGGATATGCAACTTGAATGCCTACTCACCCCAGCTAGGGATTCCAGGACAGACCAAAGTACGGATACCACTGAAGTCCAACTTGGGTGGATCAAGGAGTTTTATTGGGGTTACTTAGAAGAGTACGGGAGAAGGGTTACTATTCATAGCAGAAATGACTCCAATAGCTAGCTCTATCACCAAAGCCCATCCCAGCATGGGTGACTGTTCACAAAAGCTGTGAACCTGGAACACACTGCACAGACTGCAGGTCAGCAGGTTGGAGAGTGACTGAGTCTGGTTTTAAGAGTCTTCTTTACAGCTCGTTTACATCTGAGTTCAGATTCTCTTTTGTTGTTTCCTCTGTCAGGAAGGGGCCTGGTGAGTCTGGTCAGCTTCAGGTACTTCCTGAAGCTATATAAGTTTACCCTCCTGCTTGAGGAGCTTCCTGCAGAATGAAATCTTTGAATCTCAGAGGAAACTATACACAACACAGGCTGAACATCTGCTCTTGAAGCTGACACCTTATAGGTTCCATAAAGTCCCAAGTTCATTGATTCAGTCCTAGAGCCCCAAGAAAAGCCTTTTAGGAGATGGGAAAAGATGGAGATAAACTGATCTGGCACTGCTGGGACCAAAGTACCTGTAGGGTGCAAGTGCATACCCTCCAAACACAGTTCTAGTTTTTCAGAATAGAAATATGAGGTTCCATGCTGGTTTCCCAACTATCAGTCTGGGAACCAAGAGCTCCCCCTTGTTCAGGTCAGCTGTTTCTGTGGGTTTCACCAGCCCAGTCTTGACCTCTTTACTCATCACTCCTCCCGCTCTGCAACTGGGTTCCAGAGTTCAGTTCAGTGTTTAGCTGTGGGTGTCTGCCTCTGCTTCCATCAGCCACTGGATGAAGGCTCTAGGATGGCATATAAGGTAGTCATCAGTCTCATTATAGGGAAAGGGCATTTAGGGTAGCCTGTCCATTATTGCTTAGATTGCCAGTTGGTGGCATCCTTGTAGATCTCTGGAAATCTCCCTAGTGCCAGATCTCTCCTCAAATGGCTCCCTCTATTATGGTATCTCTCATCCTGCTCTTAGGGGAGCAGGGATTGACATGTGAAGCAGGCTTGTTTCTAGTTTGAACTAGTAAAAAAATAATTTCTTGGAAAAAAATTTTAAAAAAAGAAATATGAGGTTCTTTAAGACCCAGTAGATACCAGGATCCTGCTTATGTAAGGTTCATAGAAGGGCCATAGTAACTGTAGAGAGGATGTTGGCTCTCTTACAGCATCAGATATTTCTGTGGCAGGACGAAGGAGGCTATTGGCAGTAGAAGGTCCTGTTGGTCCTGAAGGTGCAATTTTCTGGAAGAGAGTTCCCTGAGGCCCTTTACTGGTGCAGAGTGGAGGATGCTGGGTCAAGTCTAGCATGATATCTTAGTAGAGAGTTACTCTATGAAAGGCCCACAGAAAGCAAATCCTCAAGTGGAAACCAGTGATGGAAATGGTATTCTTTCTAGCCCTCCAGTGGAACCTAGAAGCAAGAAACATTCTATTGAGCAAAGCAAGCTTTAGTAGCTAATTGCTTCTTTAATTTCCCCTAATTGAAAATGCCTTCAGAACAAGAGCTTCTTTTGCTTTTTGTTTCCCCACAAGGTCTAGGTCAGTATATAAAGCACACCCAGAACAAAACCTGTTGGCTGACTGGTGATTTATTAGCTGAGGGCAGTTTCTGGGCAGTTTTCCCAAACATCAGTCTTCCCACTTTGAAGTAGGAGCTTTTGCCAAGGAGACTAAGTTGTTTTGAGAAAGTAGGGAGCTGTCTGTTAACTAGCTATGTAGACAGACCAAGCACTAGCTCAGGGCACTGAAGAGTGTTTAGGAGTCCAAGTTGGTATTTCCAGGTTGAGCAAAGTTCAGGCTTGTTGAGAGGACTACAGTTACTCCCAGAATTGTAGACTCACCTCCACTATCGCATCTAACTTTGTTAAGGAAAGTTCATGAGTCTGTCTCTTTCCTACATGGAAAGTCATCCAGCCATTTGCTGGTATGCTTCTTTTATTCTTTATCTTAACTATCATTATTATCGTATAATCGATGTAGAATGCAACAATAACCAAATTTAAGTTTATGCTAGCAACATCAGGGTAACAGAAGATGTTTGGAACAAAAACCATGGCAAGTGATACAAGTCTTAAGCATTGTAGAGTTCCAGAGAGCTCCTTGGAATATCCTAAAGACCATGCAGGAGCTGAGAGGTCAGCACAGTAGTAGATCACTGCCTAGCCTATGCAAAGTACTAGTTCAACCCACAGCCCTGGCATCAGAAAGGAAAATTATCACCAAGACCAAGGCTAGACTCCAGAAAGGAAAGAATTCTAGGCAGAGAAGGTGACATAGATAAAGGTGTGGAGACCAACAAGGACATGGGTGGCCAAGATGTAATAAGACTGACCCAAGTGGAGAAAGCTCACAGGATATTGCAAGGGGTTGGGGTGCATGTTCATATAGACTTGAAACCAGACAAGAGTTTGGAAATTACATGGTAAGTGGAGTTGGAGGATATTGCCAGGCATGGAGGACAATTAGAGAAACTAGAAACAGTGGTGACATCGATAAGACAGAAGAAGGTGTGTAAAATAGAGATGCAGCAGCAGGATGTGGCATGGCCTTAGACTTTTGGGTGAAGGCTTAGGTCATCCACTGATAAGATGCAGAGGAATGAATGACATGTACCATGTGTGACACTTAGTTATGTCATCACTGTGACAGACTCCTAATCATACATGACTTAGACAATTTTAGCTCATGGCTTTTTGAGGTTTAAGTCTATCAAGTGGGAAAGATGTAGCTTTACTTCATGGGGTCTAAGAAGCAGAGAGGAAGAAGGGCCAACATCTAAGCCCACTGCAGGGTTGCCTCAAGTGCAGACCATAACACAGTGTCACAATTGATTGCAGTCTCTGGAACTGGTCTACTTGCACAGTTGTGGTAGCACTCAGTCATGGTAATTACCAGGTAGAATCCTGGCTCCTAATCAAACAGCCAGGAGAGAGCCTGGATCCTGAGAACTGGCAGTTCTTGGGAAAGTAAAAAGGTGAGGAGTGTAGAATGTGGTTGGAATGTAGGACACAGATTCTGGTTAAATCAGGGATATCGCCCTTCAATGCTTTTGGCTCTTCTCTTCTAGCTGTGTCTTGTCTATACCTTCCTAGATGTCTGAGGTGATAGAAGAAGAAAATATTTCCTTAAAGGAATTTTTGGGGAGGGGTAGGGGTATCCCTGCATTGCTCAGGCTAGCCTGGAACTCATTCCCTTGTTCCAGCCTCCTAAGTAGACACTTAGATCATTAGGATCTTCCTAATGAATCCAGTTCATGTAGTGTGGTATAGACCCAAGACTGTACATTTCTAACAAGTTCGTAGGGAATATACACAAGGAGGGACCTTGCAGCTGTGAGTAGAAAGGCGACCAATCAATGAAGATAGTCCCTGGCACCAGTCCCCATCAGCACCTTCTGGAATACTGGCCTGGACTTCTAGTGAACAATTTCTTTTCTGATTTCTGGCACAGCTTGCCTTCTGCAACAGGTGGTTATTAGTGACAAATGACCTTTGCAATTGCTCTTTCTTTGCAGCTTACTAATTCTCAAGCCATCATTTCTATTCCTTTATTTTGCTAGTTTTCTTATGATGAGGTTGATTCTATAGTAATAACTCATTGAATGTCACATAGCTAGCTGAGGAGGCATGTATATTTTCTCACCTAAGGCTCTTCTTTTTCCTATGTATTCAATGAGTGTCTCCTACTTGGAGGCAGTTTTGTTATTGTTTCCTTTTTCTACTTTCTAGCCTTTCTTGCCTTAATTCTTTGTTTGGTTTATTGAGACAGTTTCTCTGTGTAGCCCTGACTGTCCTGGAACTTGCTCTATAGGCCAGGCTGGCCTTGAACTCAGAGATCCCCCTGCCTCTGCTACCATGGAGTGCTAGAACTAAGGGCATGCACCACAACTCCAGGTTTCTAAATTCTTAATCCATTTAAATACTTTGCTTAACATTGCGTTTCATAGATTGGCTAAGTAATTTACTTAGGACCATGTAGTTAGTAGTTAGTGCTGGGATATAAGCTTAAGCTAGAACCTGCTAACATCCCTGCTAACACAATGCCCCAGGCCCCAGTGGTAAAAGTGTCTAACTTTAGTATTATTTGCCTCTTGCTTTGCAGGGTGTTTCTGTGGCCTGGGACTGGTTAGTACCAACAAGTCCTGCTCAATGCCACCTATCAGTTTCCAAGACCTTCCCCTCAACATCTACATGGTCATCTTTGGTACAGGCATCTTTGTCTTCATGCTCAGCCTCATCTTCTGCTGCTACTTCATCAGGTTGGTTGCTGGCTGGCTGATATGGGGAGGGGAATGAAGAAGGAAGGAGACTAATGCATGGAGGATATTGAGCAAGGCATGCAAACGCATGCACACACACACACACACACACACACACACACACACACACACACACCAGAGCCTTGTGCTGGAGCCTCTATGGAGGATGTTAGCCTGCCCGTCTCTGGACACTTGAGGTCTAGTGTTTGCATTTATATCAGCCTATCAAGTTATCCCAAAGCACATAAGGTCACCAAGGGTTGGACTGCATTCCACCTCTTGGTCAGTTATTTGAGGGTTGTCTAGAATAAGTGTTAGCTGAGTGATAAAGCCAGCATTCTTAACCTGCTTCCCATCCACAGCCAGGGAGAGGTAGGTAGATATCAGTTCTCTTGTTCACCTGTGAAATTAATTGCCAGTTCTCCCAATGCTGATGTGAGCAAGCTCATGTTAGAAAGCTCCTTGCTTATTCTGTCTTGTAAGCTTTTTATTTTTTGAGAGTGGAAAGGAAAAATGACACTAACTCTTAGTTGCTTAGGGATCAAGGGAAGGGCTTGAGCTTGGCAGGGGTAAGCTCCAGGAACTATTTCTCCTTATTGTAAAGGACATAGGAGCTTATGGCTGTTGTCTACTAAAAAGCCGGAGAGATGGTTCAGGAGTGGAATTTGAATACCAGAACCCATGTTAATGCTGGGTGAGCATGGTGGCCTGAGGTAATTCTAGCCTGGAGTGTGGAGATGGGATCCCTAGAATGAGCTGGCTATCTAGACCAATCATATCAGGGAACTCTGAGTTCAACGGAAGAAGTTGTCTCAGTCAATAAGGTAGAGAGCCACTGAGGAAGACTGCCAGTGTCAATCTCCTACATACACACGAGTGCTTATACACATAGGAATGTGAGTACATACATGCACGTGGGGGAAAGTGTTGGGCATGTGTGATGCTTAAAGCAGAAACCAAAGCAGAGTTCTAGTGGGGTGCTCTATTGGTACTTTTGGGTCTTTGTCCCATGGGTCTGCCCTATACATTGGAGAGAGTGGGATATTTATGGTCAATAGAACATGTTCATAATACTTGCAGTCCTGTGACAACTGCCCCCTTGCCTGGCACACACATTAATTACCCAATGCTTGGGGAGACATGAACTAGGGTCTAATCAAATCAATTTAGGAAATTAAGAGACCGGAGTCTTGGTACTGCTTGATTTTTCCTCTGATACAATTAGTGCAAAATCCACACTTAACTGCTAAGTGAATGTAGGCTTCCTCTTTCCTGTTCTATAATCCCTGTGTTTCTCTCCCCAGACTATTCTTATTCACTGATCTTTTCCCTCAACTCCTTTAAAATACAATTAACTCAATTCTTGTGAAGGGTAAAGGTATGCATGTTTTAAGTTATCACAGATTTATTTAGGATGTGACTGATAGAAATATAAATTTATATAAAACTGTTTCTCGATTTGGTTCCTTTACACACACACACACACACACACACACACACACACACACACCAAGGACCAAAGATGATAAACAAAAGAAAATCCAGAGGCTAACACTCTGACCAACAAGTAGATGACTGAGGCTCGTTCCCTAATTGCCACTACCAGGCATGACCTTGTGCTTTAGGCTAGTCTTTGCTAAGGGCTTTCTCGTGCCAGGCATTTCGGTAAACCATTTAGCTCACTTAATTCTGTGAACAAGCATCCAATGTAAGGCTTAGGGAATTGCATAAATGAAGACATTCATGTACAGACAGTTAAGAATTTGTCCAGAAAGATCCTGAGGTGGGTTAATCTGACAATTTAGCTTTTCATGCTGTCCCTCATGTTTGTCTTTTGTGTGTCTTCTTCCTTGCGTGGGAAGTAGAGCTGCTGAGACCTGCTGGCTAACCCCTTTCAGCTGGGTGTCAGGGTCTTACAGGAGAAGACAGGTTGTTCTGTTGGTTACTGATTTGTTTTGTTTGAGTTGTAGCAGAAGAACAGAGAGAGTAGTGACCACATGATACTAAAAGCCATCCACACTGTGGTGCAGCTCAGTGCCATCTGTCCACTCTGCAGTATTTGTCTCCTTCACCACCCCACCCTATGTCCCGTAGTCTGTCCAGAGCCATCTGACCCCTGGGTCTCATGCTTCCAAAGGCTCACTGGCATGTGGTATCTGTGTCTATATATAGAGAGACACACAGGCACAAAAGCCACTTCCTCTCCCTGCTTCTCAGTTTCCACCTCTGCCAAAATAGGTCCATGACTGCCACTCCTGACCCGGTGAGCTCACGAGCCAAGGACACATTGACTGCCAGCTGCCCCTTGTTTCCCCTCTTTCCCCTCAGAGCTGGCCTCTGCTTACACAGGATGGAGGGGCCAGTGGAGTACAAATAGGCAGGAAAGGAACAATTATTTTCAGGAGCTGGCTGCATTGTCTTGCTCTCAAAGGGAAAGGAGGGAAGGGAGAGCCTGCTGGCAGTGGCTTGCAATGGTCTCATTGAAATGGTGGTATTTTTAGTTGCTTTGCTCAGCCAACAGCTGAGAAAGCCACCTGTCTAGAGTTCTTGGCTCTCCATCCCCAGCTGGGACAGCCCAGAGCATGATTTTTGCTGTTGTTTTCTTTCCAATTATCTGATCCCCATCTCCTCAAGACCTATCCCTTTCTGAGCCGAAATAGCCATGCAGGATGAAGATGGAGCCATGAGGGCTCTGGATCCCTCCATTAAAGGGAGCATGCCATACACAATAGGTGAGAGGACCCCAGGCACTAAAACCCGGTGGTCATAAAGCGCAGCACACGATGCATAAGTGTATCAGTGGTGGAAGGTGAATTACGAATTGTTCATGTTAGATCTCTCAACATGCCAGTGTTGTTGGTGAGGTAGAAAATGTATGACATTCTCTCCTTTAAACTTCTACCCCAGACAGGGTTGGGATGTAGCTCAGTATCCTAGCAAGCATTAGGTCCTTAGACCTAGAGGGAGGAGGAAGAATAAGATCTAGAGTGCAGATGGACTGGGTTATAGCTAAACTGGAGAGTGCCTAGCAAGCCCAGAGCCCTCATAATCAATACTAGCGTCTCAGAGATGGAGGAAGGAAGATCAGAAGGTCAAGGTCATCCTTGCCTAAGTAGCCAGTTTTGAGGCCAGCCTGGGTTATATAAGACTCTCAAAAACAGGGAAGAAGGCTGGCAGTGGTGACGCACGCCTTTAATCCCAGCATTTGGGAGGCAGAGGCAGATGGATCTGAGTTCGAGGCCAGCCTGGTCTATAAAACAAGTTCCAGGATAGCTAAGAATGTTACACAGAGAAGCCCTAAAAACGGGAAAGAAAATGAAAAGTTCTTCTGAAGAAAGATCAGACACAGTGTGGTCAGGTAATAGCTCACTTGTGCTTTGGACACACCCTTCCCTGCCCATCCCCTTTGGAGGCTGAGAAAAAGACACGCTTGTATTGTATATGAAAACCTTTCCAGAATTGGAGAGTTCTGCACATTAAGGGTTTAGTCTAGGCGTAAAAGTGAGCAAAAAGTACTGGGGGGGTGGGGAGGAGCTCGGGGCGGCAGTGGCGAGCATAGATGTCAGTGCTGCCTAAGCCCAAGCCCTGGCAGGAGGCCACCTGGCAGGGACTTTCCCAGAGGCTCACAGAGGCCCCAGGAACATTCAACCTTGCCAGACCACGTGACTTCCTGTCAGGAAGGATGGAGGCAGCTGGTGACCAGATCTTATCTGTCCTGACCCACCTTTCAGGCATGCCTAAGCACCCTGCTTCTTCACCACCCTGGGAGGGGCTACAACCCCTGAAATGAGGTGTTCTGTGTTTGTCACTTAGAGCATCAACCTTCTTATTTACAGGCTTCCTGGGTTGTAAAGTCTCTGTCACAACCACCCAGCAATTCTAGTATGCCATCACAGCCAGTTCCAAAGGCAATGCATAAGCTGATTGGACTAATGGCATAAAAAAAATGGATTTCTTTTTCTTTTGTAATGCCAGGGATCAAACCCAGGCCTTCATGCATAGGAAACAAATGCTCTACTGCTGAGCTACGCCCCAGCCCTAAAGTTTCAGGTCATGCGATAAAAGTTTTTATACTATGAGATGTTGATCTTTTTTTTTTCCTTCTATCTTCACCCAGTGAAGAATAATAAAAGCCATTCATAGCCTGTCGAACCAGTAAGAACAGGTAGTGAGGTGTAGCCAGGCTTCCCTCCCATACTCCAGGCAGATCTATATTAGAAAGTGCTGGGTGTGTAGCTCAGTGGTGAAGCATGTACTCAGTAATATATATCATATATATCAAATATACTTTTATCTTTGCTATGAAAGATACCTGATTTGATTTGTGGTTTTGGAGGGTTTCATCTGTGGCCACTTAGTCTCAAGCGCTTAAGCAGAAAACTGTGGTGGCAGGAGCATGGACAAGAGACAGAAAGGGGCCAGGACAAGATCCCTCTTTCTACAACCTTCCAGAATGCCATTGAACCATGAATCCATTGGAGGACCAGGTCAAACTCTCACTGGGAAATGACATCATAGATGCACCCTGATATGTTCTTCACATAATACTGAGATATTAAGGTATTTCTTAATCAAATTAACTTGATCATTATAGCATGCCTGAGGCACTGGGGTTAATTCCAAGCAAGGTGAGAGAAAGTTCTGTGCCCATATGTAGGAAGCATGTATACTTACCTACAGCTGGGCACAGTAGCACATGCTTGTGATACCTCCTTTTTGGAGATTATGAATTTGAAGTCAGTCTGGGCTATGTGTAGAACTCACAGTAAAAATGTCCCCCACTGATGTAAGGTGGCACAGACTCAGTCGAATCATGCTTCCAGTCATCTGCACAGTGGGTCACCCAAAGTCAAGGGCTTAATAAAGCATGCATTGTATCTCCAGATCAAATGAGAACTCAAGGCTCCAGTGTATTCCACCTTATTACAGAAGCAGGGGGATCATGTTCTGTGGTAAAGACATTGGGCTCTGTAATCACAGAAACTGACTTTTAACCCAGGAATTGCTCCCCATCAGCTCTGTAAAGTTTGGGCAAATTGCTTGATTTCTTTGGGGTTCTTTTTTTTTTCTTATCTATGAAATGAAAAGTCCCTCCTTCCTGGAGTCCTTTGGATTCAGTGACACAATGCCAGTCTCCAAGGGACAGACACACAACATAGCCTGGATGAACTGTTTATTATGCCATTGCTATGAATAACAACATGCTGTGTTGTAGCTATCAAGAGTGGCTTTGTGCAGGCAACCAGTTGAAATATCTGCCTACCTCAGCACACAGTAAACACACTGTTGGTCTATGTAGTTTGGTTATCTGGAGGAATTTACATACTGGGAAAAAGGCAAAGAAAGCAGATAAGCCATTTATCTCCAGCAGGATACCCTGCTGGAGAACAGCCCAGAATGTGGCTGGGACCTGGTAAGAAAAATCCTTAATCCTTATCATTTCTGATTGGCCGGCATACTCCTGAACTATGCCACCATTGACATTTATGAAACAAGTACCCATCTCACCTCCAGAAAAATGTCCAAGCAGTCGCATACTGTCATTATCTTTTGTATCTTAAAAAACAAAACAAAACATGGTCATCTGCCCTCTTCTCTTTCTTTCTCTATCTAGTAAACTCCGGAACCAGGCACAGAGCGAGCGATATGGCTACAAGGAGGTAAAGTACCACTACACTTCTCCTTCACCACTTGCCCTGATAGATAAGGAGAGCAAGCCCAAGCTTCCATAGCCTACATTCCCTGACCTCCTGGACATCCCGGAGACTTACCACTCCTGCCACTGTTCTGTAGTTGGGTTTGCCCTCCACTTTCATAGAGAGAGAGAGAGAGAGAGAGAGAGAGAGAGAGAGAGAGAGCGCATCATTGGATGAGCCTCTCTGGCTTCAGTGATTGGTACCTTCAGACATCACCTGCTTCTTTCCTTAGGTGGTGCTTAAAGGAGATGCTAAGAAGTTGCAGCTCTATGGGGTAAGTGTCTTGGGATAACTAATGTTTGGGAGGTTTCTGCTTAGGCATCCTTCTCCAGCTCTTGGGTTGAACCTTTTCTAGACTTTTTAGTCCCTGCCTTCAGGTTACCTGTGTCCAAACAGAAGGAATTCATCCTGGCAGGTAATATATTTACTCTAGAGTCAAATAAGTCAGGAAACAAAGGGATCACTGCCATAGACATAGAATCTGTAAGAGTGCCACAGACAGGCTCTATGCCATAGGCAGTATGCTGTACAGAATCTATAAGTTTGGTCACAGGCTCTATGTTATAGGCAGTGTGCTGTGTTGAATCTTTAAGGGTGTCATAAGCTCTATGCCATAGGCAGTGTAGTGTGCAGAATCAATAAGAGTATCACACACTCTGTGACATAGGCAGTGTGATGCTAAGTTTCCCTTTATTTGATACCTTTAACTCATGTGTATTGCATTGTCCTAACAGATCAGTAATTTGTATCCTCCCCCCACCCCACCCCCACCACACACATATAATGCCAATTCCATAGGGTCTATCAACTTTGACCTTTTTATTTTAATTAAAATATAATCACATTGGTCCCCCTTCCCTTTTTTCCCTCCACCCCCTCTTTTAATGGACCATTTCCAGATCAGTCCCCTCAGTCTTTAAGGTTACCCAACTTATCTCCCAAGGCTTCCACCCATAACCACAGACACCCTAACCAGAGATTTGGCCTTTTGTGGTTGTCTGAAAATGAATACGATTCCAACATCACCAAACATGAGACTCTCTGGAGGTAGCCTCATTTTACTCTTGTTTTTCATATTGCTACTATACCTCAGGTTCTTAAAATAAGTTCAGGTGTTTCCTAAAGCCTTTTGGAATAGTTCAGCTGAGATCTTGGAGTTTCATAAATGGAGATATAAGTCTAGATTTTGCTTACAGGCTGTGGTCCAGCTAGTCCAACATTGGCTGTCTACCAAAAGGTCTAATCCACAGGCTGGCTGTCTCAGCTGGTCCTCGTTATACGCTAGAATCCCAAAGTAGATCTAATACCACTGAAGGAATGAACCTGCCAGTGAGAGTGAGAATAAGTGGAGAGCACACTTCTTCCATTGTCCCCTTCATAGGCTGCTGGCAAAAGATGTGGCCCAGATTAAAAGTGGATCTTCTCACCGCAAAGATCCAGATTAGAAGTGGGTCTTTCCACTTCAGATGATTTAATTAAGAAAAATCCCTCACTGCCAGGTGGTGATAGTACACTCCTTTAATCCTAGCATTCAGAGACAGGTGGCTCTCTGAGTTCAAGGACAGCTAGGGCTACACAGAGAAACCCTTTCTCAGAAAAGAAAGAAGGGAAGGAAGGAAGGAAGGAAGGAAGGAAGGAAGGAAGGAAGGAAGGAAGGAAAGAAAAAGAAAGGAAAGAAAGAAAAAAAAAGAAAATCTCACAGGTGTGCCCAGTCATTTGGATTTTAGTAAATTTCAGATATAGTCAAATTGACAACTAAGACTGCCATCACATCTATCCTATGGTCTCACTTATTACTGTGTGCCTCCTTAGCCCATGCTGTAGGCTGGAAAAGATAAAACTATTTGAGACCAACACTGTCAATTCAAAACTTGAATGTTCATAAGAATGTCCTGAGACTGTACTCTCTCCAATCTGGGACCCATCAACCATAGGTAGCTGTTGAGCACTGGAAATATGGACAGCTGCCTCCAGGGTTTGAGAGAGGCTTAGAACTCATCAAATTAGCCTGCACCTACTAAGTAGTCACCATGAGCCCAACTCTCCTCTGAGACAAAATATACATAATTTGAATACCTGAGAAGTTATCGGTGACAAATAATTTTCACCTCTCTCTCTCTCTCTCTCTCTCTCTCTCTCTCTCTCTCTCTCTCTCTCTCTCTCCATAGCAGACCTGTGCAGTTTGTCTGGAAGACTTCAAGGGGAAAGATGAGCTAGGTGTACTTCCATGCCAGCATGCGTTTCACCGCAAGTATGTGAGGGTGTGATGGGGGGGATCCTGTAGGGGAGAAATAATTAGGGAGTGTCTTTAAGAACCTTCTAATCCCCACCAGTGCTGTTCAACAGTGATGCCCTAGGTTCGGCACCCTAGAGGGGTTAGCTAAGGGCAGGCACAGGGGCACTTTGTTCTCAGAGGCAGCTGGACTCAGAGACAGCTGGAGCCATCTGGAATGTCTCCTCAGAGATAACAGTCCTCTTGTTCACAGGTGTCTGGTGAAGTGGCTAGAAGTGCGTTGTGTCTGCCCCATGTGCAACAAGCCTATCGCTGGCCCCACAGAGACCTCGCAGAGCATTGGGATCCTGTTGGATGAACTGGTGTGAGCGCTCCTTGTATGTGGACACTAGAGAAGACGGCTTACTCTGTGGGCGCTGGGGTTCCTCGACACAATGAATAGGACTTTTGGGTATTAACCAGCAGTGTGGGACCAGTACCAGACTTGCCCGGGCTCTGCCTCCCAGAGCTTCTTTCCCTGTTACCCAGTTCCAGTGGCCTCATTCAGCCAGACTACTCCATCATGGCCCTACACTATCCACCTGTCTCATGCTCGCCCTGGGAAGGAATCAACCCTGTGACTGTGAACGTGGGCACTTCCCCTTTGGAGAACAAGCTACTCTGGCTTTGAAAGGGTGAGGTGGCTGTGCCCCACCCACATCCCTCACTCCTGTCAGAGCCTTGGGATGATTTAAAGGGAAGGAAGGGAAAGGAAAAAAAAAAAAAAAAAAAAAAAAAAAAAAAAAAGCCAAGGTGAAAGACTCCACCTGAAATAAAGGACAGCAGGGACCTAGAAAAGGGAAAAGTCGATGTTTACATGGGATGTAGGAAACAAAGGCCAGCTTTGTCCTGGCTGACTGCAGGGTGATGGGACCAACCATCCCCTGTTAGATTCTTAGGTGCTATCCATTTTCTCCCTGGCCCTGGTTAATCTCAGAGCTTCCAATTCCTCGTTGGTTTTGAAGAGACCCCACTCTATAGAAAGGAACTTTTTCTATCCTCATCACATTTCCAGGAGCTTTTTAAACGAAAAGGACCCTGGGAGGGGGGTTTCTGAGGTTACAGTAGAGCAGGTGCCTGCTTCCCCTCTGTAAATAGTATTTTTATACTTCATCTTCACCATCTCAGGCTTTACACATGCAGCCCCCAAGGATGGAGTGGGTGGAGTCTCCCCGTCCTCAGCCAGGTGGCTGAGAGTGGAAAAAAGTTATGTATTTAAAGAAAATTAAATTTAATAACATGTTTCTTTAATCAAATTTGCTCGTGGTGTGGCTCTGTGCCAGGAAAGGCAACAGAGCACTTCACCTGATTCTTCCTCCTTCCCAAGTCAGAGCATACTTGACATTTCTAATCCATAAAATCTAATCCTTGGAAGAAAGAAAGAAAGAAAATTGAGGACTGGGCAGGCATGTAGCTCACTGGTAGAGTGCTTGGTTAACATGCTCAGGGACTTTCTGGCAATGAAAAAGAGAAAGGATTACCTGTTGAACACCAATGTGCAATAAGATCTGATGAAGCCAGAATCAATCGTCAGAATTTTTTGAAATGTTTTAAAGTCAGTGTTTTCAAGTGTCATTTACCAATTAAGTCTTGGAACTGATAGAATTCAACCTGTAAGCTGACTACCTGTGACCTTGTAACCTCTCATAGGTCCAATGTAGCTATTCTGGTGCCCCATCCCTACTTCTGTGTCACTGACAATCCCTGAGTGGCATATCCTAGCCTCCCACACCCCATCTAGAATTCTGCATGATAGCAACTCACGGCCCTGTGTGCATCCAGATTGTCTACCTATGGCCTCCAACTTAGCTTTGCCAGTATCCCAAGGGGCTGCTGCATCAACATTGAGTTGATATATTGTATATCCCATTGTATAAAGAATGGGATGATGTTGGGAACACTTTTTTTTTTGGTTTTTCGAGACAGGGTTTCTCTGGGTAGCTTTGGAGCCTGTCCTGGCACTCCCTCGAGACCAGGCTGGCCTCGAACTCACAGAAATCAGCCTGCCTCTGCCTCCTGAGTGCTGGGATTAAAGGCATGCGCCACCAACGCCCGGCAGGAACACCTTTCTTAAGCATAAAGATGCTAGGCCCTGTTTGCCCCCTGCTTGGTAGCACAGGTCAATGCCAGTCAAGTGGGCAATATTCGTTGGGTGGTAAGGTCAGGAAAGCTAAGTTCAATATAGTGTATTGATATCAACTGTACAGGAGCTATTGGGTACCAGCCACCAAGAGTGGGTATGGAGCCTTCTTACCCAGACATTGTCTTGGGGAGACTGAACAATACCAAGGTATACCTGAGTACCTGAGTATGGGGTCCTCTGCAGGAAGGTGCCCTTATCCTTCATGCTAAATAACCCCTGCTTGCTGCTGCCAGCCTTACAGGACGTGATCTCTTTACTGGGTCACTGCACCCTCTTCTAACACTGTCAAAAGGTGTGTAAGTATTTTCTTAGCCCATTTCAGCCTCTGCTCCCATCCTGCCACTGGTGGGTACATTGCTGGAATATGATGGGGAAACTGATCACAGCTTTGCATCTCCTGCCTCACCATCTCTCCTTGCTTTTGGGAGAATCCCTCAGTGTTGGCATCCAGATGAAAATGTTAGCACTAAAATGCATGTTTCACAGATTTTTTTAGTCAGTATACTGAGGTCAAAATAAGGTGGGAGAGAAAAACACGTTTTATTCCCAGCACTTGCATTCAGTTATATTGAACTAGAGTAATTTGTATTAGAGTACACAGAAGGGGAAATGATGCTGTTGAGCTGACTGGCTGTGAATTGGCAGCTGCAGAGCAGTTAGGTAATATACCCTAATTCAGACAGTCATTGGTGAAGTCTTGTTACTTAGTGCCACCTTTCTAGAACACCTGGTACCCGGATCAACGAGTTACCAGGAAAATCCTGACTTTGGGTAAATGGTGTGAGCACTATGTTTGGGTAGAGCACATGGCAGGGGCCTTTACTCCACTACAGCAGTAGCAAGAGTGGATGGCAGGACATGATGTCCTACCTTGAGAGAGTTGTAATGTGGCCATTTACCATGATTAACCAGTCTATTGGGGGCCAGAGAGTGTATTCTATATGAAGCTAATGTGGGGAAGAACCATGGGGGGCGCGGGGAGAATAAATACTGTGTGGAGACCAGGAACAAAGGATTTGATACAGTAAGCACCCTGAAGTTTATGTAGATAAAACTTAAACAAAGCTGGGAAGTGGTGGCACACACCTTTAATCCCAGCACTCAGGGAGGCAGAGGCAGGTGGATCTCTGTGAGTTTGAGACCAGCCTGGTCTACATGAGCTAGTTCAGTACAGCCTCCAAAGCCACAGAGAAACCCTGTCTCGAAAAAGAAAGAAAGAAAAACCTAAACAAGCCACTAAGTACCATCTGAGAACTAAGCTAATTATTTTCGATTGGAGTCCCACACAGTCATACTACAACATGCCCAGTCCTATTTAAGTTAACAAAGAACTTCATCCTGAATGTATCTAAAAGGGAAAAGTATCAAGGAAAGTTGTATTGTGACTATACATACCAGCTTCAGTAACCAAGGGTTTTCGTTTTGCTTTTTTTTTTTTTCCAACAAAAGATAAACTTTGCTTGCTTTTCTGAATGCATCCTGAATACACTGAATTTAGAGTTAGGATGTTAAAAACAAATAGTGCTCTCTTAATTAAACACTAAGTGTCAAGGCTATTAGAAACCCCAGACAATGTGGATCCAAGTTCAATGTCAGCTTCATCGCCCCACTGTTTTGGAAGCAGATGAGGCTGAAGGTTTTCAGAGGACAAGGTGCTGTGGAGCCTGATGCAGCCAGAGAAGACAAAAGCCCCATTGTCCCTGTATTCTTCACCCTCCCCATTATTAGGTGCATGGCAGCGTTTTGCAACTTATGGTCTTTGTTTTTGTTTTAATTTGGCGGCTTTTGTGTTGTTTAAATTCCACGGTGGATGTCTTAAGTCTTAAATAGAACCATCACTTACAAAATGGGTAACTGAAGTAAGGAAGGAGTTGAGAGCTCTTTTAGGGCAGAATTTGAAATTCAGTGAAAGAGTGAGGTGTGTCACCTTGGGCGGGCATGGTGGTACACAGCTTTAATCCCAGTACCTGGGAGGCAGAGGCTGGCAGATCTCGGAGTTCAGCATGTGTACATGGTAAGTTCTAGGACTGCCATATAAGTAGTCATGTACATAGCCAGGCTATGTAGACCGACCCTGGTTCCAAAAAAGCACTACCTTTCCTCCTGGTAGTTCCAACTCAACCCTCCCACCCTGACCAGGGCTTTCCTTGTTTTCACTCTTCTTTTATTCCTCAATTTGATCATTTTTCCTCCTTACCCATCATCTGCCCTCTATTCCACTATCTCCTATCTCAGAGCAATAGACTAACATCTTCACTGTCCTGACTTGACCATGTCACCCACAGCTCAGTCTTCTGTTGAAGGCTTATGTGCACAGGTTCAGAGGGACAAATGTGATTGAGTTGGAGACAAGAATAAAGTGACCAGTTTTACAAGCTTGTACAAATTCATGGAACATATTAAGCTGTTTGTTGTTCCACTCAGTAGCATTGGATTACAACTGATCCAATGTAAGAAGTTAAAAGCCATACCCATTTCCTTTCTGATGGGAAGACATCAAATGTCACCTTTGTGCTTTGATCTTCCCCCTGTGACAGCTCATCAAAAGACCGTCAGTTTTGCACTATAGATGAATAGCTGGTGGGGGGGTGGGGGCGAGGACACATCAGCAACAGGAGATGCTGGGGTCACTTGATGGCTGAGTGTTCTCAGTCATAACCTCTTTCAAAGTAGCACATTTATCTTTATCTGTGCCTATTACTAAGAATGCCATATCATTGTAGAACTCCCCAGATGAGCTGCTGTTGCCATGAAAGGAAAAAAAAACAACCCCCACCCCCCACACACACAAAAAACAGGAAATGCTAAGGGTTTATGCATAAATGATGGTATGAATCTCTACAGAGACTGTCTCTGAGTTCTAAATGTTCAATGAATAAGCATTGTGTCTCAAGAAGGTGCTGATGTCCTCAAAGACATGAATAACATTTGTGATAACTATAATGTTTTTTTTTTTTTAAAAAAAATTGAAGTGTGAAGAGGCCAACAAGAAGAGAAACTACTGGTACTCAAATCCAAAATACAATAATAAACCAAATGCCAGGGAATTGTTTTCTCTGCTACTTTCCACATTTAAATCTCTGTTGGGTTGACTCAGTTTTTATGTCTATTGAAAGCCAGGGATGGCTTTAAAACTCCTGTGGAGGGCTTGAGGGTGTCCTGGGTTGTGAAGCACTTAGCACTGGAAAGGTGTTGAGTCTGTCTCCTGTGCCCCTAAACAAAAAGCCCAGAGAGCAAGAAACTGAAGGACTGCATCTGGAGGGATGAAGACCAAAGAACAAGCAAGTCTCTGGTGGCCTTTAGCAAGCTGCTTTTGCTGTAAGCCATGCCCATTTCCTTTCTGAGATAGTGGGAACACATCCTGTCTGTGTTTCTATCATGATCTCATTGCTGTGAGCAGACGCCCAGCAAGACACATCACGAAGGAGAAAAGGGTGATTCTGCTCCCATGGTTTGAGGAGATGCAGCCCATCCTTGTAGGAAAGGCATAGTGCTGAAAAGCTGTGTGGTGCTAGCAATGGGTGTCAGCTGGTTCCATTAAGTCAGCATTGAGACAGGAAGCAGGTTCATGCTATAAAACCTCAAGGTCCACCACCTTCCCAACTAGGTCTGCATCTAAAGGTCCTATAATCTCTTCAAACAGCAATGTCATCTGGGGTGTAAAATGTTCAACGTGAGAACCTGTCAGGAACATTTCACTTTGAAACTGTAACATGTCCCTTCTTGCAATATTCAGGAACCAGGGATTAATACCCTCTACTCCATCCTTCTGTAATTGTTAACCCTGGATTGCTTTCTGTGTCCCCCAAGACCTCACTACTACCACCAGCCTGTCGTCTGGGGCCAGGTTGAAGGTGAGTTTAATGACATGTCCAAAGGTGAAGACATCTAGGGCCCCATGACAGCTCTGTCTGGCAACAGCTCTGTAGTTCCACCTGGGAAGTAAATTTGGTCTCAACTATGTGTGGTACCTGCCCCTTTCATCCTTTTTAGCAGAAAGGTTGTAGTGTGAACCATTTGGATTATTCCAAGAACATTTTGCTACATCTACTTTATGACTTATTTTTCCATCATCAATATGTTTTTAATGTATTTCAAAGTAGGCTAC